ATATATATATATATATATATATATATATATATATATATAGAATAATTCTATTAAACCATTCATTATTTACAGAGCGACATAATGAGTTATATAACTCTGCATATGACTATTACTTCTCGTCAACAATATGTCAGTCGACAATCTTGCTTTATGTCTAGAACTTATTGTAATACCCTCTTTTCTTCAACCCTTGTCTTGTCTACGAACTATATGAACTATGAATAAGGGTAAACTGGCCACTACACGCCACCAACTTTTAGTACTAACATACCGCCCCGAAATTACCATGTTAATTATAGTGTTTCCATACTGTCAGAGTGGCATGGTGTTGTGTAGCGTGATATAGGGCAATATTAATTTCCAAGATTTTCGCCCAGCAGAACCTCGTTCCTATTTTCCTATTCCTAATACATGCATTAAGGTTGGGTTGTGAAGCGTGGAATATTGCTTATGACTTAATTCGCAATTCGGTTAAGATATCAATCAGGTCATTTATTGATATACATAAATAGGTTGACAAATTAAAATTAGGGAATAAATATGTGCAATTATTCTGTTTTCTGCAGTTTAATTAAAATAAAATGGAATAGTATTTTCTATTACTATATAATCCCCAGCGGCGGCTCATATATCAATAAAAGGGAGATTAATTTTAAACTAAAAAGGAAGACTTTATGAAATATTATTGAATAGACCAATAATTCTAAGACTACGGCGGATCTGTTTTGAGGTGGATGTGAGAGGAGCATTTGGATTTTTGCCAAAATCAAAACCGAAATGTCATGCTAAAGGTTTTGAAGTTTGGGCTTTAATAATGGAAATTCCATAGTGACCGGTTAATGGAAAAGTGATTTTAATGATCTCATGAGAATCGATAAAAATGGCAAAAATCACGCAACGTTTATTTATTTAACACTTTCATAGCAACTGACTTTAATTGCAGCCAAATGCAAAAATTGCATAAAAAAGGTAGATTCATCATCTTTAAAAATCTTTTTGACTTTTGTCGATAGGATACTCTTACTCTTATTTTCGGACAGAACCTCTCCTACTCTGTTTTTGCGTTTTGTTTCCGGTAGAGGTTTGTTATAACCCTTCTATCATTTTTTATAAGATCATATTGTTTAATATTTTTATTAGAGTTTTATAAGGAACTCGATCGAAAGCTTTTTCGAATATTTAAAATCTTTTAACTTGCATAAGTGTGTTTTTTACGGTTTAGCATTTGAAGGCAGAGCAGTTTTAGTTCTCATCCCATCGTGAATCGAAATATCTGATCTACTGAACTATGTCACATTTTTTTATAAATTGTATTTTGTATAATTTTGAGGAGAATTCTAAGACGTGTTCATTAGTGTTACACAAACAACAGTTTGTCCTATTTAAGCATATATATATTTTGACAAATCTTTTTACAGGGTGATAAAAATATTAGAGTGTAGGTGGAGTTTCCTATACCTATCTCTTTTCATTTTTTAATATTTAAAGATTTACAAACTTGTAAGCGTTAACAATAATTATAATCAAATATGTCGTGGTTAACAGTCTTGACGTCTTGAAAAAGTTGAATATAGAGTACGCAAAGGGGAACTGTCTGAACTTTTTAAGGTTGAGGTATTGAGGGAGACTCTTTCTTCTGTATACTGTTCAATCTTGCTCTGGAAAAAGTAATACGTATGTCACAGTGGCGGCTCGTGACATCTGCTATAGGGTGTGCTGCATGAACCACGGTCAATATAAAATAATAGAAATAGAATAACATACGAAAACAAAAACAATAAAATTAGCTTTAATACTAATTAATAGTAACTAATAACGACATGCTATAAAAATCTGATTAACTTACATTTATTGCATTTTTCTAAATTGGAAATTAATACGCCGGTCCTTTTTTGTCGCAAACTTTTCGATTACTTTATCGTTAAAGTTCGGTATTGAAGCGATGAACTTTTTTTCTATCGAGAGTGTGGAAAGGGCTGTTAATCTGTCTTCGCACATTGAATTTCTTAAAAATGTTTTGATCCGTTTTAAAGTTGAAAAACTACGTTCAGCTTCTGCTGTGGTCATTGGCGTAGTCACCAGAATTTGTATCAACTTTTTGGTTTCTGTTAATGTGTCCTCTAAATTATTAGAAATTATAAATTTTAGTAAAGGCACTGCACCTTTTAATGTTCTACACTCGATATTGGAATACAAAACTGACAGTTCTGTTCGCAAACGGTTTTTATCAAAGAAGTTATAAGCTGTACAAGTTAAATCCAATTCATTTTCAGGAAACTTATTATTATATTTTTCGAAATGTTCTGAAGATAAAAGTGTTGCGGCAACTAGATGATTTGTATATGCAAACCGTTCTTTTGCATTGTTTATAATAACATCACAAACTTCTAGACAGGCAATACGGTGATCCTGTTGGCTGTTATTTGGGCGTTTCCTTTTTTGGACACTAGGCGCCGCATTTAAATTTGAAGCTTGATGTATGATAGGGTCTATTTTATTTCGGACATTGTTAATACTTTGCTCAAAAACATGTATAGCTTTCTGTGCTTCGGTTGGGTCCATGTTCTTTTTTTGAAGATTATTGTACAAAACGTCAACATGTGGCATAATATAATGAAAAACAGTCAGCCAGAAAGTAAAATTTTGATCTTCCAGAATACGTCTAAGTCCTCTTGCTTCCTTGGAAGTAATAGCATTTGACTCTTCTTCTAGTTGCTCCATACACTCAATAATAAAGTCTCTATATTCGTAAACGACATTTACTGTACGAATATTGAAATTCCAGCGTGTAGGGATTGAACGAGGAATATTTTTTCCAACTATTTGATTTAAGACAGCTATTCTTTGAGGTGAATGACTAAAAAATCCAGGTATATCATGTAAATCTCCAAAAAATACGCGTACTTGGGAATTAATAGAACATGCTCTTGACATTATTAGATTCAATTGATGGGCGTAACAGTGCACAAAATGAGCAGTTTCATATTTTCTCTTAATTATTGTTTGCACTCCGCCATGTATCCCACTCATAACAGCTGCTCCGTCATAACTTTGTGCAATGAGCTTATTTTTGTTATTCTTTAATATTGGGTCTAAAACATTCAAAATTGTGTTAGCTAAGGTTTCAGCATCATGTTTTTCTGGAAGCAAAAAAGTCCAAAACCTTTCAACTGGAGCACCGTTTTTTACATAACGAAAAACAATGACCATTTGAAATTTCATAGAAACATCCGTTGTCTCATCAGCTATCACTGCTAAAAATGGGGCTTCATTGATTTCGTTTAAAATCTCCTCAGCGTATACTTCTAGCATGCAATCCAAAATATCATTTTGTATTGTTTTTGAGGTACCTTTGAAAATTGTCGCATTTGTAAGGTGTTCACTAAGTGTTTTATCAAGTTCAGCAGAAAAATTCACTAAACCACGAAAAATTCCAGGGTTATCTGATGTTTCAGATTCATCGTGTCCTCGTAAGGCGAGCTCAAAAGCCCCACAGAATTTTATACAGTCAATTATTTTTGACAAAACATACCTGTTTTTCGTCACCTCTTCATTGTGTTTTTGTATATTTATCCAATAAGCAGAGTCAAGTTGGGCCTGTATATTAAGTTTCCCAAATAATGCAAATCGCATTTCATTGTTCATATGAGTTTGCGTGTTTTCATGCTTCTTTATTTTTTCACTTAAATGCACTAGATCCCGCACTCCTGTCTCGCGCCACAATTTTTCCTCTTTATCTGCGCCGAATAATGCACACGGAAAACAGAAAAAAGCATTTTTTTCGGAACATCCACAAATCCACTGATTTCGTAGATACATGTCTTTATTAAATTTACGCGTATATGTTTTTCCACGGCTTTTACCGGACACTTCAATATTAAGATCAGGCATAGGACGGCCACGTTCTTTTATAATCAACTGTTGTTGATAGTGAAGTTTTTGAAATTTATTTACACCTAATTTAAATTGAAACTCCATTGTTTTAAACACGCTCGAACAAAACAAATTAAACAAAATTGTAACCTAAGAATTTCTAAACACGGCACAGATGCAACGGTCACGAATAACTGTCGTGAATTGCAGCTCGCAAACACATTTCCGAGGCCGTTAATCAGCCGATTGCCGAAGCACATCGGCTAAGATCGCCGTTTGCCTAATAAATGCATTTTACCGCTGCCAGTGTTTCGGTTGTTATCGACGCGGCTTCACTGGAGCAGCAAATACGTAAAAAGATTGCTTCACTGGAGCACCAAATACGTAAAAAAATTATACGGTTTCACTAGAGGAGTAAATACGTAAAAAAAATAATATTAATCATCGTTGTTGGTGAATTATTATTAACAGTTTATGTTTAATATGATAATATGGCAGATTTGAAATAAAACTATATTAATTATTCTTTAATAATTAAGATTTGCTATGGTTGTTTGGTAGTTCTGCAGCTCAGCAGCACATAAAGAAAAGCCGCCACTGGTATGTCACAAATTAATATTGACAAATCTTTTTACAGGGTGATAAAAATATTAGAGTGTAGGTGGAGTTTTCTATACCTATCTCTTTTCATTTTTGAAATATTTCAAGATTTACAAACTTGTAAGCGTTAACAATAATTATAATCAAATATGTCGTGGTTAACAGTCTTGAAGTCTTGAAAAAGTTGAATATAGAGAACGCAAAGGGGAACTGTCTGAACTTTTTAAGGTTGAGGTATTGAGGGAGACTCTCTCTTCTGTATACTGTTCAATCTTGCTCTGGAAAAAGTAATACGTATGTCACAAATTACAACCATTGATTCAGTACGGACTACGAACGGAAAAACAGGCCAATGAACCCAACGGTTAATAAATAAGTTTAAAAAGACCAATTTTTTTATTTAAATCTTTGTGCCTTTTTGTCAAAAGTCCTTTAAGGAATAAAACAAATTAAAATTTACCGTTGACTGTCTATTATTGCTTGAACGACAGCTTTTATTTTAGCTTTTAAATCTTCTAAAATAATGGATGGTGTGTTATACACTATATTTTATACACTGTATTTCCAGAAAAAAAACCCAGAAATTTAGAGACCATTTATGTAGACATCCTCTTTCGATCCATTTATTACCAAAACGTCGCTTTAAGTATTACCGTACCCAAAGTTAAAAATGTGCTGGGGCTCTATTCAACTGTGTCCACATTGTCTACCCAATATTTAGAGGTACATTATCAAGAAGGCCAGATAATTTCCAATACAAAAAATTAAGATTATCATAAAAAGAATAAGGACCTACAACATGCGATACTATTATTTCCCATACGTTCAAGGACCACCTGTGCTAATGATCGAGAGTACGTTCATGATTAGTACGATAGACTTTTGGATTTTTATCACTGTAATAATAAAAGTAATGGCTATTAAAAAGTTCGTTATTATGGAAAATGCACTCATCGAAAAACAAAACAATCAAACAAATCTTACTCGGATGCAAATTTGTCCATAACCCATAAACAAAAATCAATTACGGTAACTTCCTTATTTTGTAGTTTTCCTAATGGTTATTTAAATGTACTCTGGAACGATTCAATTTCTTTTCTTGGGTTTGCGGGCTGAAGTATATATTTGTACGTTACTCAAATTAATAGGGCTGGCATTAATTCTTATAACAATGATGCCATCATTAACAATGTTATAGACTTTTTTACACTACGCTTAATGTCTTGACTAACCTGCCATACAATTATTAGTTTTCTGAGAAGTAGACCTCATTTTGGTCTTCATTCGAATGATTATTGGTAATAATTCAAAGTGGTTAGTTTATCAAACAGAGTGCAGTTGCATATGATTTTATTTATTTTTTCATCACTTTCAGTTCTCCAGGTTTTAAACAGTAGGTACACCAACATTCCACGACCAATTCTATACCCATCAATTCCGTCCAGATTCCGTCCGATCAGATCCAAGACATCTTACAGAAACTTAAACACGAAATTTTGTATATTATAGGCGACTTCAATGCAAAAATTGAAGAATGTCGTCGAGGTCAGACTGTAGGTCCTTATGGTCTAGGACAACCTAACGATCGAGGACAGAGATTGTATGAATTTTGTAAAGAAAACGATATGATCATTGCAAACACTTGGTATAAACTACCCAAGCGACAACTATACACTTGGAAAGCCCCATTTGATGATGGCAATAACCTTGAGTCCTCAAGAAATCAAATAGACTATATACTTGTAAATGAGCGTTTTCGAAATACCGTCAAAAAAGTCACTACATTTCCTGGAGCAAATATTGGATCTGATCATTAACCGATTCTAGCAGATTTTAAACTAAGGTTAAAACTAATTCAGCGACAAAAACCAAAAACCAATGTACTTAACTTTGACGATATAAACATAAAACATAACATTAAAAAAGAATTTAACAATAGAATAAAAAAACATCGGAGAACAACTAGAAGATCCAGAAGAACTATGGAGTGTACTTAAAAACCAAGTTAACGAAATCTCCACAAACAATGAATATAGAAAAAACTTTATGAAGAAAAATAAATGGATGACAGACCCATCTTGAAATTAATGGAACAATGTCGACTGATAAAATCTAATAAAACAGAATATAGACAGCTGCAGAGAACTATAAAAAAGGAGATCAAATTAGCCAAAGAAAAATGGATGAGAGAAAGATGCGACGAAATGGAGGATGTAATATCTAAACACGACTTATTTAATGTGCACAAAAAACTAAAAGAAATGATTAACATATTTAAAAAACGTGTTCCCTCTGTACTTAAAATAATAACAAAATTATTGTAAATAAGCACGAAATAAGAAAAAAATGGCAGCTGTATATATCAGAGTTCGTCTCAGGACCATTACACTTATGTAGAGTCATACGCCGCCATGTTACCTATCCAACGGTAACTTAAACATCACAAATTATAACTATTAATAATGTAAAACAACTACAAATTTAAAATATTTAAAGGGTTTTGACTCATATATTTTGGTGGCTACTAGCATGTACAACCGTTTGCACTGATGATGGATTTATCAATCCGAAAACGTTTTGCAATGTGTTTGTGATAGCCCGTTTGGGTCATTTTTTATATACCTTTTATAAAGAATTTTAAACAATTTTTTGTGATATATGGTATACAGCAGCTACAGGAACTTATTCAGTGAATTCTTATTTTTTTAATCTAATTTTATAATTTCTTAATGCAAGAATATATTCAAACCAGATATTCCCTTTTTATTTTAATCAAGCAATTGTCATATAAAAATTTCTTGTTTCAGGTTTGGTTCCAGAACCGTCGTGCTAAATGGCGCAAGAAGGAACATACCAAAAAAGGACCTGGCCGGCCCGCCCACAACGCTCATCCTCAATCCTGCTCGGGAGAACCAATACCACCTGCCGAGCTACGAGCCAGAGAACGTGCGCGTCGCAGGAAAAAGCTTCAAAAAGCTCTAGAGCGACAAGCTCGCAAGTTGCGCGCCAAAGGAATCGCAGTGGATCTTGTGGCGCTAAAAAGAGAGTACCTTGCGCAGAGGGGCGGTGACGGGGCAGATAGTGATAGCGATATAGACGTTGTTGGTGACTCTGGGGCGGAATCAGAAAACTTTAATAATAGCGAGAGTGGTAGGTACTCATCTTCCGTATCGGAATCTGGAGTGGATCTAACCGCAGGATCACAAGATGACAAAATCAGACGGGCAAATCCGTTTAGTATAGATTCTTTACTAAACAATAACACTTGAAAGAGTCTATATGATAAAATTTTTGTGCAATAGATTATTTCTAGGTTTTCGTCTGTTGTTAGTGATATTTTATTGTGTTATTTTTTTAAAGATTCTAAGATCTTTGAAGGAAGTTCATATTTTTAATTATTTATCAAACCTTTTGATTTTTAAAGACTTCTAAATACTGGAGTAATTCGTAATAAATTGAAATGGGTAAAATCTTATTAAATTTTATCAAGATTATATAAAGTATATTTCAAATTGTATTTTAAATAAATCAAAATATTGATAATTTAATGTTTTTACGAGAATTAAACACATTTTATAAAATAACATAAATTTATGAATTAAGTCAAACAAACAAGGTAATATGATTTTTTACTTGTTTGCAGTTTATATATTATATATATATATATATATATATATATATATATATATATATATTATATATATATATATATATATATATATATATATATATATATATATATATATATATTATATATATATATATATATATATATATGTTTTTTTATTATTTAAAGTAATATGAATGTTACCCTGAACACAACTGAATGAAAAGAAAGTTGCAAGAAACCAGGAAATACATCTTTTATTTGTAGATCTCACAAATGCATATGACACGATTCCTGTGAGAAAGCTATGGCAGTCTCTTGAACGATCTCCATTAAATAGCACGATCATCGCCGCAGTCAAACAATTATACAATAAAGCATCATCAAAAATCAAACTAAACAACACTTATCAGAAGAATTTCCAGTAACAAAAGGCTTACGACAAGGATACTTCCTCTTTCCAATACTATTTAAGATCTATTTAAATGAAGCACTAAAACACTGGAGAAGATCCTGTTCAGGAATGGGAATCCAACTTGACGACGATACAATATTATACACTCTACATTTTGCAGACGACCAAGTAGTAGTGGCAGCAGACAAGGAAGATTTAGAATTCATGACGAGATGGTTGTTTAAAACATATGAAGAATGGGGCCTCTCTGTAAATAGAAACAAAACGCAATACTTATGCATCGGGAATGAAGTAGAAGATCTATTGGTCAACGAACATGAAACAATCAAAAACTGTGAGGAATATATATATTTGAGAACAACAATCAACAAGAGTGGGCGCACCGAAAAAGAGATAAAGCAAAGAATCGTGAAAGGAAAAAGTGTGATAGGATGCCTAAACCCGATGCTATGGTCAAAAGAACTATTAAATCAAAGAAAGCATCTCCTCTTCAACTCCATCTTTAAAAGTATAGTGCTCTATAGATGCAAAACATGGCAACTTACTAAATCCCTTGAGCGACGCCTACTTGCATTGGAAATGGACTTCTGGAGAAGATCAGCTAGAAAATCAAGGCTTGATAGAATACAAAATGACCATATTAGAAATATAATGGGAGTCAAGTCAACCACCATTGACGAAATTCGAAGGAGTCAACTGATGTGGTATGGTCATGTGAAAAAATGGGCGACGACAGGCTCCCAAACCAAATTTTAAAATGGACGCCAAGGGAAAGAAGGAAGAGAGGAAGGCCAAAACAATCCTGGCTGAGCGGCATTCAGAAGGCAATGTCGGAAAGAAACCTTTACCCTGGCGAATGGAATGACCGACGTAGCTGGAAACTGGGAACCGGAAGGCGAAGAACGCTATAAAAAACCGGAATAATAATAATAAAATAATATGAATGTAAACAATTTATCAAGTGTATTAATTAAAATAGATAAACGGTAAATTGGCCAATAAAATAAAAGAGGAGACTGTTAAAAATTGGATCGTTAGGATAAATTCTGTAATGTATAAAGAGATAATTATAGATATAAAATATAGTAAAAAATATAACACCAGACAGGATATCAAATATATTACCACTTTTATTATAATGACAATAATGATACACAAAATGACCGATAGATTTTAATTTTGATTACAGTACAGCATGACAACTTTAATTTAAGATTTGCAATGAAAAATTATTACATAATAACTAAGCTCTAAAACTTCTTCATTTAGCAAATCGAAGATATAGAATGTCTTAAGAAAAATGTCGTCAATACAAATTTTCTTCATGCGTTAAAAAATTAAGGCTGACCGAGGTGTAAAAATCTAGTCAAAGTAGCAAGAACAAAGAAAATGGCGTTTACTAAACTGTAATCCACCAATTAGAACTTGAGATATGAAATCCGCTATTAGAACTTGAGACTTCTTGTAAAATTATTGCAAAAAGGATGAAAAATAAGTGTTTTTCTAAGCTTTTTTGACAAGAAACGAATTTAATTTGAAAAAAAAAACATTCTCTATTTCTTTTAGTTTACGATCTAGAGCCTTATGAACAATTAAATTGGTTATAACAATTTTTAACCACTCGTATCGAAGTCCACCTTTGAAATTCGTAATCAGCAACCAAAAATACATAAAAAACTTGCGTGGACCCATCAGGAGAAAAATACAACTTCCTACGACTTATAATGGAAGGGAAAGTGGAAGGAAGAAGAGGTCCAGGAAAAAGAAAATGCTCCTGGTTGAAAAATGTGAGAGACTGGACAGAAATGGACACAAATTCCATACTAAGAAAAGCTCAAGATAGAGATCAATTTGCTGTAGTTATAGTCAACCTTTAGTAATGGAGAAGGCACCTTAAGAAGAAGGACTCATCATAATTGAAAAGACCTTGGTGACCTAACTGACTACTAGATTGTCTCTGAATTTAGAAAGAATGAAGATTTCCCCACTTTTTTGGAATTTTGCAACTGCGCACCCAGAACTCACGTCTCTTCTGTAATTTGGGCCAGTGTAAGAACTATTGGCTAATGATAACGATTTATAAAATACCATTGTTAAGGTTCGAATTTTAAAAATAAAACATTAAACTTAACTAAATTAAAAAATTTTATTTAAAAAAACTTCTTTATAAAAGGTATATTAATATAAAAACCCTATTGGGCTACATCAAAGAACGTTTTCGGAACTATCGACTATTAGTTTAATATTACTACAGTAGACTCCCTCTATAATAAGAACTGAAATAGCAGACTAACTACCTCGTTATAAGCCGATCTCGTTATATCAGACAACAATAATACTGTGCATACATGTGAATAATTATGTAGCTAGTTTTCTAACATTAACTTTCTATAGTGAAGAAAATCAGAGCAATATAAGATCGTAATAAATATTGTTTGAATGGCGTTTTTGAAAAAAAAATTTAATTTTATTGTCAATGAAATACATTAAAACAAAAGAGTTGTTCACTTCTATTGTCAATGATATACGTTAAAAAAATCTGTACTTACATTTTTTTCCAACTACATAACGTATGAAACGTATTTTCAAGGATAACATAAACTATTGCTTTGCAATTAGAAGTCTGTCATTTTTGACTGCTTTAAATTATCTATACTCTGTGTAACCAGGAGGAGTAAACCTAAAAGACAGATTTCACACCCAAGAAAGTTACTAGAAAAGTCACCAAATACGTCTTCTTTTTTGTTGATTATCTCGGCCTTGCGGTAATCGAATAATCAATATCGGACAACCCTTACACGTTAATTTTAACCTAACTTTGTCTATTTATGTTTGAATAATATTTTTGTCAATTCATGTTCAATTATATTACAATTATTGCAATAAAAAAGTACGTTTTTCACATTTGGTCCCATGTATATATATTTAAATATAAATTTAAAAAATTTAAATCATATGATCCAGTTTTGATAGATCTCTGGTGGTTGAGTCTAGGATATTTAATTATAATTTAGAGAATATTTTGATCCGGAGAGTCAATAATGTTACAGATCTAAGCTAATGTTATTTCTTTTAATTTGCAAATAGATCTTATATGCAACAAAGCTATGCAAATGCATGTATCAAAAAGTTAGAGAGAGTTAAAAGATTTCTGAAATACTGTTCTTTGAAACTGCCTAGACCATATTATTATTATGGTGTGATCAATTTCTTGAAGCTAGTTTTTTTTTCTTACCAGAAGAGTTAACTTTGACTTTGATCATTATTTTTAAGCTTAATAATCCAATCTCCCGACTTGCTTCAGCCAATTTGTTTTACATATTCCTTCCCATTCACTGCTTTAGAATTCACTTTTTCATGTTTCCCATCACAGAATAAATTATGGTTTAAATATAAGTGTAGTCCTATTTTTTATGCATGGTAATCAGTTACCTCATTAGATAGATTTGTTTAACTCATGTATCAATATCTTTAGGTTATATTATTTGAAGCACTCAAATGCAAAAAGATACTTTGTTTAAATAAGTCTGTTCTTACAATTTCTTTAATGCTGGATTTTTGTTTAATTTTGACATTGAGTTTGTCCCATTTGTTATCAATAACTAAAATTTACTAAAAATACTGGATTTCTGTGAGATAATTAACAAATTCAATCTATTATGTTACATTCTAGCATAATTTTGCAGTTTTCTTGTGATTATCTACAACCAGGAAGAACAAAACCAACTGTATCAATAAAATTAAACTAAAACACATTACTTTACTAATGCTCTTTTATTGTGATGAAAACTAAATGAAAATGTTTCTTAACAAGTATATACTAAATTTAAAAGATAGTTGCAGTTTTTCTTATGATAATTAGATATAAATAACATACATTTATAAATTTTTAAATACTTTAAACTATATTTAGTGTAAATATCATCTAAAAAACTATCACATTAAATACTATTCGCATATCACCAAGTCCAAGTTATTACAAACAACTTAAAGTGTCAGAAATCGATTTATATATTAGAGGAAAATAATATACTGTGTATAATATATATTCGGGATGTATGTAAAAATAAAAATTTAATAATTTTAGTAGTCTTACAAAATATTTTCCCCATTTATGTTTTGGTGAGGTTCATGAACAACTACATTATTTTGAATTTCTTACTGTTCCAGTCTGCTTATTCTTTAATTGTTCGGTAAATAGTTGAATTAGCAACACCTAAAATTAGTACATTACTTTAGTAAGTCTT